GTTGATGTGAAGGAACAAGTGAGTGACAACAATGAGGGCACTACAAGGCAATTTGAAGATAACCCAGGTGATTTACCTGAGGATGCAACCAAAGGAGACAGCAATGATGGTGCTACTCAAGTTGAAGAGAAGGTCGAAGCGAAGTCTGAGGAGAAGACTGAGGAGAAATTTGTTGAAAAGACTGAAGACACGCCTAAGGAGAAAACTGAAGAGAAGAATGAGGAAAAATCTGAAGATGGGTCAAAAACTGAAACAGAGGACGGAGGAAGTAAAACGGAGGATTTAGATTCTAAGGTGGAAAATGGTGAGTCGAATCAAGAAGATGGAGAGAAGAAGAGTGATGGTACTGAAAATGATAATGAGAAGAAGTCTGATTCCAGTGACGATGACAAGAAATCGGATGAAACTAAGGATACCGAAAACGTGAATGGTCAGATAGAGGAGAAAGTGGACCTAACTGACACTAAGGAGTCAGATGGTGAGAAAAAGGAAAATGGGCAGGCCAAAAACCAGAGTAGTAATGAGGTATTTCCTTCTGTTGCTCAGTCAGAGCTGTTGAACGAGACTGCAACTCAAAATGGGTCATGGTCAACTCAATCGACAGAGTCAAAGAATGAGAAGGAGGCTCAACTTTCTTCAAATCAGCAAACAAGTTACAATTGGAAACTCTGCAATTCCACTGCCGGGCCTGATTTTATCCCATGCCTTGACAATTTGCAAGCCATTAAAAGTCTTCATAGTACCAAGCATTACGAACATCGTGAGAGGCACTGTCCCGAAGAGGCCCCCACCTGCCTTCTTCCTGTGCCGGAAGGATATAGACGCTCAATTGAATGGCCAAAGAGCAGGGAAAAGGTATATAACTGAATTAAAATGACAATTTATTTCCACATTAACTCTCTCCTTTCTGAGATAAATTGATAAGGTGCATTGTTGCAGATATGGTACTACAATGTTCCCCATACCAAGCTTGCTCAAGTTAAGGGACATCAGAATTGGGTCAAAGTTACTGGTGAATATCTTACTTTTCCTGGTGGTGGAACTCAATTCAAGCGTGGTGCTCTTCATTATATAGATTTCATACAAGAGGTGAATACTTTTATTCATCTGATCCTTTTCACATCCAGTCCACTTGTATTACTTTGCATACCAGTTTAGTTTCTTTCTGTAAATCTGCATGCACATTTACTGCTTTTCACAATGTGTGCATTCAATCCTTGGATTTTTCCCCCTAATATTTTAATCAACTCATGCGTTGAGGAATATTCTTTGTATAGTCAACAATGTATTGCATCCAATCTTCGTAGTTCTGGGATGTTAGACTTGAGACCTATTTATGCTAAAAGCATTCCAGGGCTCACTTTTATAAACTCTCTATTATAAGATCAACGTAGTAGTAATTTCATCATTTTAACTTGATGGTCTTTGGGAAATAAATAACTGTTTTCAAATAATTAGTTTCCACTTAGTCTACTAGTAACTGTTCTTCTTAGTGCTAATCAAAATTACATTTTGCTTAGCTTTAATTGTCTTTATCTTGCAGTCTGTTCCTGATATTGCATGGGGGAAACGATCACGTGTCATATTAGATGTTGGATGCGGGGTTGCAAGCTTTGGAGGCTATCTCTTTGACAGAGATGTCCTTGCAATGTCATTTGCCCCAAAAGATGAGCATGAAGCTCAAGTACAGTTTGCACTTGAAAGAGGAATTCCTGCTATATCTGCTGTAATGGGCACGAAAAGGCTTCCTTTCCCCAGCAAAGTTTTTGATGTTGTCCACTGTGCCCGCTGCAGGGTTCCTTGGCATATAGAGGGTATTCCAATTACTTGATTTAATTTGTGATGACTAAATGAAATCAAGGTCATCTGGGTTTAGATTGTTGTTTAAATTCCCTGTTCGGCTGAGTTTTCCAGAACTGTTATAAATGATGTTGAAAAGCAATAATAAGTCTTCTGATTTGAAAACTTGAAAGAGATATTGAAAACATTGTTTTGATGCCTTTTGTTTTCAAGCTTGTTTTCTGAAACTTCTTCTGGAAGAAGTTTTCAAATCTTGTTTGGCTGCATCTTAAATACTGTTTTCTACTTCCATGATTTTTATGATAGAAAAGTGTTGGTGAACAAAAACCGAAGAGGCTTCTACGTTTGGAAGATGTTTAGCCAGCCTTTTCTGCTGTAGTAACAGTTAGAGGGGGCTTATTTGGTCAATTCTTTTGTTTTGGACATTCACATTAGGTATGATATGCAGGTGGTAAGCTTCTATTGGAGCTGAATCGTGTATTGAGACCTGGTGGTTTCTTTGTCTGGTCTGCTACTCCAGTTTATCAGAAGCTGGCTGACGATGTTCAAATATGGAATGGTAAATTATTTAAAACCTTGTATCTTTAGAATTTTTTATTCGGACTTGGTTGGTGAATTCTAATGAGGCAATTTTGTGGGGAACGTTTACAGCCATGAAGGAACTAACGAAAGCGTTGTGCTGGGAACTTGTGTCAATTAATAAGGATACAATAAATGGAGTTGGTGCAGCCATATACAGAAAGCCCACTTCAAATGAGTGCTATGAGAAAAGATCACAGAGCGATCCTCCTATCTGTGCTAACACTGATGATCCAAATGCAGCCTGGTACTTGTTATCTTTGACTTCATTTTTTCTTTCATATATTTGTATATTTTTTAAATTCAATGAAGAAATTGGAACATTAATTTTCCGGACATTTGATTTAGTTGTCAAGAATCTTTCTGGATCAAATCACAAAGTTCTATTTATGGCGTAATGAGCCTGCTGAACTTCTATTGTGTTGGTGAATGGATATTTTCTCATTGATTCTTAAATCATGTGAAAGAATACTATGATGCATTTGGAAGAACACAACTGTTCTCTCCATAGAATTGGAAATGGTGTTACTGTATGCCAACCTGAAGATAACTATAATTTTCAAGCTCTATAGCTGCCCTAATCCATGGTTGATTTGTTGTACACAGGAATGTGCCACTACAAGCATGCTTGCACAAAGTGCCTGTAGATGCAAAAGAGCGTGGGTCTGAATGGCCTGAACAGTGGCCATCGAGGTTGGACAAGACACCTTACTGGTTGTTAAGTTCCCAAGTTGGCGTTTATGGGAAACCTGCCCCTGAGGATTTCACTGCAGACTATGAGCACTGGAAACGCGTGGTGACCAAATCATATCTAAATGGAATGGGGATTAACTGGTCATCTGTTAGGAATGTTATGGACATGCGAGCTGTGTACGGAGGGTAAGTGAAATGGTTCCTTGGTGTTATAATGTTATCTTCAATAGTGTGTTTTGATGGGTTTTGCTTGATGCATGAAAAATTGACAAACTTTATAGTTTCTACTCTATCATTTTTATCTTTGTTGTTCTTGAGCTTGCCAACAAATATGTACAAGTGGGATATTGAGTTAGAGGTTTTGGTTTCTTGATTATATGTGTGATGTGGCTTATTGTATCTAGTCCTTTTGTCTGTTTCCATTGGTGCTGACTTCTGGTTGTGCTTGCAGATTTGCTGCTGCTTTGAAAGATTTGAAAATTTGGGTCATGAACGTGGTCTCGGTAGACTCTCCAGATACACTACCCATAATTTACGAACGAGGTTTGTTTGGTATATACCATGATTGGTGTGAATCATTTAGCACCTACCCCAGGTCCTACGACCTTCTCCATGCAGATCATCTGTTTTCCAAGCTTAAAAAGAGGTATGCACTATATACCATTTCTCATTTTCGCAGCAGCAAAGCATTCATTTCATTCACCAATTCTTTTTGCCGTCTAACTTTGGAATGGTTTATGAATGACAGGTGCAATTTAGCGGCTGTAGTTGCAGAGGTTGATCGGATCCTTCGACCAGAGGGAAAGCTTATCGTGAGAGATGATGTTGAGACCATTAATGAGCTGGAGAACATGGTGAAGTCAATGCAGTGGGAGGTTCGCATGACCTATTCCAAAGACAAGGAGGGATTGCTTTGCGTCCAAAAGTCCTTGTGGCGGCCAAAGGAGTCGGAGACACTCAAGTATGCCATTGCGTAAGCATGCCCTGGAGTGGCTGGCTGCTAAGAGGATATTGTTACACATTCTTTTTTGTACTGGTTGTTAAGTGAAAATTCATGGTAATTGTACTTTATATTAGCCATTGTATCATTTTAGTTAGGCCTTGTAGTAGTGTCTCTTGATTTTTTGTTACATTTTTCTTTCTTTTTAAAATTTGATGTTTGGAGTTCCATTGTAACACTACCTTGCTGGTTATTGATGGGAAAAGAAAATGAGAACATTCTTGCAAGTGTAAACCCTTTTTTTTCCAAATATAATATCTGAGGATTTTTTTTTTTGTCGAATAATATATGAGGATTTGAATTGTCCCTTTCGAAATGCCTACCTAGACTGGTAAATTAATGTGATGTGAGGAAAATGGTTCAAGATCTAGGCCATATTTGGTGCCCCGGTTATGGACACTTACAGGACACTTACCAGGTTTTCAAAATCAGAAGAAAATAAAACAAATAATGTTTTTAACACCCGATGGGGATAAAAGTTGTTGAAGTCGAGCCTTACCCGAATACTTAGTAGTATAAGGGCATGCTTAGAGTAGATTGTAGTGTTTCTCTTCTCAATGTTGTAACTTGTAAATGAATCCGAAGTTTAATTTCTCGAAAACTTGTTCAGGAGACTTGAAAAAGAGTAGATTGCAAGAAAGGAAAAGGAAAGGTTTCCTGGATCAAAGGGGGGTATGCCACGTAATTAAGAAGTGATTTTTGTGTTGGAAAAGAAAGTTGCTTAGATTAGGTGATGACAGTTCCTGACTGGTGAGAGAGAGAGAGAGAGCGAGAGAGCGAGTCCCTGGGGAGTTTAATTGGTGAAAATGAACCTCTTCAGCTGCCTATTTTTATGGTTTTTGTTTCTATTTAATTTTAGGCTATACAAATACCAAAATCCTCCAACACTCACCACCAATTTTCCTCTTAACAAAAGAAAAGAGAAAAAATGGAAGATGAGAGGCTAAATGGGCCAAGTGGAGGGAGCCCAGAAAACCCATGTGGTGTAAAGAGCAGTGCAAGTAGCAATAACAACAGCGGCAATAGCAATTATAATAACAATAACAATAGCAATAAAGAGCAAGATAGATTCCTCCCCATAGCAAATGTTGGTCGCATTATGAAGAAAGTGATCCCAGGCAATGGGAAAATCTCAAAAGATGCAAAGGAGACTGTTCAAGAATGCGTCTCTGAGTTCATAAGCTTTGTCACAGGAGAAGCTTCTGATAAATGCCAGAGAGAAAAGAGGAAGACCATCAACGGTGAAGATATCATCTGGGCCATCACAACCCTCGGATTTGAGGACTATGTACATCCATTAAAGCTCTACCTCCAGAAATATAGAGAACTTGAAGGGGAAAAGCTAAATGTTCCAAAGCAACAAAGATTGGAACAAAGGCAGCTGCAGCAACACCAACAAAACCACCACCACCAGCAACCAGAACAACAAGAACAACAAACTTTAGTATCTGCTTACGATAATAGTGTATATTCTTCCACCAATCTCCTCTCTCAGCCATCTTTCATAGCCGCTGCCGCCGCGGATCATCATCAGACAGCCTTCTCTTTGCCCTTCTCCCCAACTTCAATTCAAAAACAATTGCACCCACAAGATCATATTGATTCAGTGGGGCATTGGTAATGGTAAGAAGAAAAGAGTAACTCAACAAAGAGAAGAGATGGTTGTTTTCTTTTTCTTCCCTTATATCGTGCTATACAAATGTAAATGTTGATATATACTTATACTTGGTTCAATCTTTAGGAGGTGTATTTGGAAAGAGCTTGTATGTATAACATGCATAAATTGCAAAATGAAATGTGATGATGAAGCTTTATCATGAATTCTTGCAATTATGAGTGCTATTGTTTGTTGCTATGCATTTATGATTAGCTTTGTGGAGTCCAAGAACGTAATACGTTAAGTAGCTACTATATTTATTTTAACTACTAATTTTTTTTTTGGGATAAATAATGTTTTACTATTTAATTTTTTTGGGTGAACGAAAAGCCATTTATGATGATAGTTCACCTACAATTTGCTTTAAATGTGGTTTATTTAGTGGGGAAGCATTATCAAGAGATATGTGATAATTTGACCACTGCTATGAAGTTTGGAATTGGGGCTATGGGACAAATATTAAGGGCAATGGGTTGAATGAAGGTGTTCATCCTATGGTGTAAGTGTTATTCTGTTGTCTCGCTCACATCGTTGTTACGTTCATGTTCGGGTAATTGAGTTCCTAGTTATACAGTGTTTGGGTGGGGGGGGGGGGGGGGTGTTGTTGGTGGTGTATTTACAGGGGTGTAAAGCCACTTTTACATCCCCTTTACATCTCCGGGGGGTGTAAATACGTTTTTTGCTCCAATGAGAAACGATGTAAATCAAAGATGTATAATTGATTTGCTCCATTTTTCCTCTCTTTTTCCCAGCTGGGTCTCACCTGCAAGAGATGTAAAAATAGATGTACAATTGCATATATATTTACATATCATGGTGGTGATGTAAATATACATTCATTTACACCCCCTCATTATGGGTGATTCCGATTACCCGGGGTGTATATTTAACGTACATCCCATTATACATCCTCCCACTGTGGATGCTCTTACAATGTGTAGTACAGACTATAGGTGTCAAACGGAGCGGGTCGACCCAGCACAACACAAGCCCAGCCCGTTTAAATGAGACACGATATGGCACGAGCACAAATATTAATGGGCTGTGCTCAGCACTGCACGAAAACTTGGGCCGGAATGGGATCAAAAAATGAGGTCCAATGGATTGGGTTAGCCTATGGCCCGAAGGCCGGACTGGCCCATAACACATAAAAAAATACAAAATAGTTGGAATGCCAAATATGAGTACAACATCTCTAGTAACCAAACACAAAAATAAATTGGTTTGATATGGAGAGAATTACGCATGTCAGAAAAACCTAAAAACCCCAATTCGGCAGACAAGAAGCATATGTACTCAAACCTACAATATAGATCCACCGCGCAACGGTAGTAACGGCAAATCCGCATCCAAAAGTTGAACACTAAATACATACATCAGCAAACTCCCTATTAAGTTTCTGAGAATTATTAGACTAAAATAAACACAAAAACAAGGACACCACACCACTTCCTCTCCAGCAAACCAAAGAGACTCGTAGCACCAACATGGCTAAACCTCTTATGTGATGTCTTTCATTTTAGGGAAATTACTTGGGTCCTTAATTAATTAAACATATTGACTAAAAATTAATTAAACAACATTGGACTTGATATCTAATAGTACACATAACATATACGTTTCTCTTATAATCAAAGCAAGACATTTCTTCACATATTAACATAAAAAGGCTTTAGATTGTTATAAAAATTATAAATTTCCTCTTTCCGTAAAAGCCAAAAACAATTATAATATAAATAATATATAAAATAAATTAGAAAGTATTTTAAGGTAAAGTATTAAATAAACAAATAATAGGTAAATAAAAGTAGAATAAATTAAGATTATGAAAGCAAGCTTGGTTTTAGGGTGAAACACGTCAAAGATGTTATCCTAAAACCTTTGTGGCTCCCCATGTGCAGGTATCGACAGTCTACAAGACTCCAAGATACGACCCTCAATACACAGGCTTAAGTTCGCTATGAGCATGTTCACAGTTGGATATAAGTCTCCAAGTCACAAAGTTGTTGCCCAAAAATAATAATATCAGTATATAAAGTATGAAAGGTAGAAGATGAGAGAATAAGATTGTGGTATGTGGTATTGTAGTAGTATTTGTGTTCGTGGTTGTATCATGCAGTAGTTTGGTAGTCTGTTAAATGAGAAGGATCATGAGTGGCATTTTATAGGCATCCAAAAACATGTAACCTCCACCACATTAAACTAAAAAAATTAAGGCATTCAATATAGAAATAAAACCTGAAAATAAATATTTATAATCTCCATAATAAATAAAATAAAATAAAAAAAATGACAGGACCCGCCCCTAATTCCTCGAAACCCGTGACTGATTTTGTGGTATTTCTGGCATCAAATTGATGTCGGGCCCACTTACTAACCATATCCTCTTCTCCAAATCAAAAGCAAAGAGGGTCGAGACTTTCTACCGAAATTAAGCAGAGTCTCCCTTGAAAAATAGACTTTCCCAAATTTTCAACCTGTCAAATCACAGTAAAATAATCCCAACAATAGCATGCACATTGTAGAAACACACAATTTACATAATAGGCCTCCGGCCTTACATCCAACCCTATCATGGGCGACAACAGAGCAAATCTAGAGAAATTCAATTTACAAGCGAAAATAAAGTTCAACCGAAATCAAGACAAATAAAAGTTATCCTACAAGAGTTCGGGGCTTGACAGTTCAAGTGTTGGCTCTGCCACTTGGTTCAGGTCTAGTTATTGCCTGGGGGGACACAAAACAGAAAACTTGTGAGTTGACAAAAATAAAGTTTTGTTGTAATTGAAGACAAGATACTAACCCCACCGTTTGGAAAACGATGCTAAAAACAGGCAATTGAAACTATTCACTCGTAACCAATGTGAAATCGAAGTACTCTCACACCCCTATTATAAATAATAATATCCAATTCAAATCTTTTGACTCCAACCAAACCCGTTCTCGAAACATAAGCTTATAAAATGAAATATGTAAGGATAGCTTTAAAATAGTTAAACGTATATATATATATATATATAGTTATATACATATAGACCACAAAATATCATAATTGTATAAATATACATCTCGAAATCCCTAAGTATACAAATAATATAATATATATATATAGGCTTATTTACTGTAGCACCCCCTGAAACTTCGGTTAAATCTCACTTAGCCCCCCCAAAGTTAAAATGGCCCACTTAACCCCCTTGATCGTGGTTTTGTGTTCCACTTCCTCCCCTCCCTCCCCCACCTTTAACTCCATTCAAAAGACCGTCAAAAAAGCAGACGTGGCAGGGGCATTATGGTACAAGAACCCATGTTGGCCAATTGCTGACCTTAGTCGGCAACCTACGTGACATATTGGACCCCACAGGCGTTGAAAATCCTAATCTAAGCGGCTGAAGGGGTGAAGTGGACCCCAGATAACAATTCTCTCTCTTCTTCTACGATAATAGGGTTTCTAAACCTAAAAAAATTACTTACCACCATTTGAAGGATTTAAGGTTCCCTAGAGAAAATCTCTCCATCTTTGTTCAATTAAAGGGTGTGAAGATGAGGAAAGAACCTCCATGAGGAGAAGAGGTGGTCGTTGCTGCACCTCATTGCTATTGTGGGAGGCGTGCTCGGCTGCAGGCTTCTTAGATAGAGTCCAACCCGCTTCCGAGGTTCTTTGTGTGTCCAAAGTCAGATGTAGGTTTTGGATTTGCTATTTTATCAAAAATTAGAAGAAAAATAAAATTGTGAGAATGTGATGGAATTGTTGTTTGAATGCAGAGGGGGAAAAACGGTTGTGGTTTTGAATGGGTGAAATGCCTCCCCGTGAGAGAGCTCTGATGGCTTGGCTGCTGAGGGTAAAGAGAGAAGTTGAAGATTAGATTGGATGTGCGAGAGCAAGAGAGAAGAAGTTGTGGATTGCTTAGTTAATTTCTTAGTCCTTTGTGTTTATGGTTTGGTTTGGCAATGTTGTGTAAAGTAAATTAGGCAATGTGGTATGTTTGAAGGTTATGTAATGTTGTGTAATGTACGTAGTTGAATGGCAATTTAGGGAGATGAGAGTCTTACATAATGGCTGTAGCATTTTGCAAATGTAATGGTTTCAAAGCCCTTTTGTAATGGTTAAGACTAAAGACTTTTGTAAGCACCATTAATTCTTGAAAACTTTAAGAGCTTTTCAACTGCCATTAATTAATAACTTGTACATAAACTGTACATAGTACATAACTCAAAAGACTTACTAAGCACATGTTTAAACCATGTTAATGCCAAAATAAAATACAAAAGACCTCATATGCACATGTAGACTGAATATGCACCATCCATGGCAATGCCAAATAGTTTGTACCAAAAAACAAAGTAGACAATAAAATACCAAACAGACAGTTTCTACCCAAAAACATATGTGTTCCCCAAGACACAACAAAAACAGAGGAGAGATTTTCAATATCTCCATGGCTTAAACTTTGCCAAGAAGGCTTTCCTCTTAGTTGGAGACTTAAATCTAACTTTCCTTTGTGGGGAAGCTTGTAAAGGCCGAGACGAATTTGGTTCTTGAGATTGGGAGGCTTGTTCAAACAGAGCAGCTTGAGAGGCTTGTTCAAACTGAGAAGCTTGAGAGGCTTGTTCAAACTAAGATGCTTGAGATGGTTGTTCAAACTGAGATGCTTGAGATGCTTGAGTTCGTTGGTGAGATGGTTGAGGAGCTTGGTTAGACTGAGATGCTTAAGATGCTTGAGCTGTTGGTGAGATGGTTGAGGAGCTTGGTTAGACTGAGAAGATGCTTGGTGATGATTGGTCCTTTTTTAGCCTTTGATATGATATAAAAATTGTGGCAGAGTTAGATTAACGTGCCTGCTTTAGGATTAATATCTATAAATGAAGAGTTTCATAATGTTACTTAAATAAAAGAAACCCAACTTATTGGTTGTTTTTGCCTTGATTGTTAGAAGATGATGCTTGTTTCTGCCTTGATTGTCTTGTAATTCTCTGAGTTGATGTGTTGGCTTGATGTGTTGGCTTGATGTGATGTCTTCTTTTGCCTTTGTGATGATACCTGGCCAACAAACATCACTAGGAAATCCATATCAGAATGCCAAACATTCAGAATTTGTAAAATCACTTGCTTTGAATATACCTGGCTCCTACTCCTTGCTTCATTTACCCTTGGACATTTCCTATTATTATGGCATAGTTGCTTACATACGGAACACTTGATTTCCAAATTATACCTTGGCAAGTGTTTAGCTTTAGGATTAGAGCTTGAAGATGGTTCACTGGCTGAGCTTATCCTGGTTTTCTTTGGCCTCCCTTGTTGCTTATGAAACTTAGATGGCAGTAAAGGTGGGAAATTTGTTTTAGCCACACAAGTCTTGACTTGCCATTGGATGAACCATGGGTTTGTAAGCTTTCATGAAGGCCTCTTTTTTGTAATAATCATGGACATAGCTGATGTGATTGCCATTTAACTGCCCAATGGCAGCACAAGCATGCTTACATGGGATCCTAGTTAGATCCCATTGCCTACATGAACAACTTCTGTTTCTCAAATTAACTACCACCTGAGTGCCTCCAAAACACTTAACCTCATATTTGCTCTCCCCAGCAAGCCTTGGAATGCACCAGGCTGATTGCTTCTTAAGCTTCTCAAGAGTTGCAAAAACTCTTGGCCCCACATCATGAGCCCATTTCTCCATAGCTTATCTTCTAGTTGCCATCAACAACATAATGTAATACCTAATCCTCTCAAGAAATGTTATAATAGACTTGTCTCTAGTATCAAGGATAGACTTGTTGAATGCCTCACAATTGTTATTCAATAGAATGTCACATTTTGAGTGTGTTCTGAAGTGAGATCTACACCACTACATTGGATCAAGCCTTGACAACCAATCAAAAGCTGGTCCTGACAAATCTTGGAGTTTTTTCATCTCTGCTTGAAACCAAGGTATAGTTGTACTTCTTGCAGCAGCCTCCATATGTTGTTTCAGAACTAATCCTCTATGGCCAACAAGTATAAAATTAGAATGCAGATGTTTAAGGCAATGCCTATGCTCAGAGTTTGGGAACATGTCACCCACTACATCAATTAAGCCCTTTTGTCTATCTGTAATGAACACATAGCCATTGCTATTTTCAATGCCAAGATCAACAACTAAGAGTTCCAAAAACCAAGTCCAAGTTGCATAATTCTTAGCCTCTGCCACTGCATAAGCTATTGGATGCATGCCATTGTTAGGATCAACACCAACAACAGATAGTAATTGCCTAGGGTGTTGCCCTTTGATGTGACAAGCATCCAAACCAACAACTAGCCTCAAAGCATCAATAAATCCTTTCTTTGTAGCTACCAAACATATATAATCCTTTCAAATCTAGATATGTCACCCTCCAAATTGGACTTCATCTTTACAATAGTTCCCACATTTGTCATTTTTAGCTCCTCAACATAATCCCAAAGACTCTCAAACTATTTTGTGGAAGTCTCATCACTTACAGCAGTTGCCTTTTGCCTTGCTTTGTATATCTGTGATCTTGAAGCCATGACACATAGATCTTCATTCACTCTTCCCTTAAAAGCTCCTACACCCCAATTTTTTATTCTAGACAAATGTGTAGTATATCTCTCTGCTAACCATGATGAGTTAGTATAGACATTGTGTTCAACAGTCCCACAAGCAGTGGCGGATCCAGGATTTGAAATCCAACTGGGCGAAACTTACATTAAAAACTCGAGGTTATGAGTGAATCTCATTAATAAACATAAAAATATACACCTAGTAGGAGGACATAATGAGCCTTACCCTCAAATGCATCTCTATACATAAATAAAAGTATAGCGAAAACAAAAAACTATTCTTTTTCTTAAAAAAAAATTTCCAACAAATTCTTTATTTTCTTGGGGTTCGGATTGTGATCTAACATAACAAAAGATAACCTATTTAATCCAACATCCCAACAAGAAATCAAATAAATTATCATAACAATATCAATGCCTTTAATCAAACATTAATATACCAACAACAAATCAAAACATCTCAAAAATACCAATATCAAATCAAACATCTCAACAAAATTCCAAAAATCAAAGACCTAATTAATTTCAACAAAGTCAGCAAATTATAATTCATTCTTTAAGTAAACTCTAGAATAGATTAGAACACATAACTTCTAACCTATTTAGAATATATTAAATTCAATGTTGTCATACACAAAATCTTAAAATCTGGGGGTAGGAAATTAAAGAGAAGATAATTAAAGAGGAGATAATTAAAGAGAAGAGAAATTTTAGGTTATGCATACATACGGCTTACTTTTTGGGTGGGCATTGGTTTGTATGTTTCACATTTGGCCTATTCTATATGGGTATTTTTTATTTTTGAAAATTTTGGGGTAGGCAGCAACCTACCTTGCCCTAAGTGTAGGACCGCCCCTGCCCACAAGTGTGCTACCTACTCTTCATAACTCTTAATTTGAACCATGTTACTTCCATTTACAGCTGAAGCATAAACAAACTACGGACATTTTCCATTCTTGATCCCATCACAAACAGCTCTAACCTTATCTTTATCATTCTTGGAGAACTTAATCTTCCTTCTGTTGAATATTGAATAGTTTCTCACTGCTTTCCTAAATACATAGACACTGGGAAATCTTAGACCAAGCTTAAAGATTGGGTTATTCAAATCTATTTCAAGCCTAAAATCTTTGAACTTGGGCAGTTTCCTCATCCTTTTTCTCATAGGCAAATCAACCTCATCACATGAGCTACTATCCAAGTTATTAACATAACTTACAACCATATCATCTGATTTCTCTCATTCATCTGCAGCTGGATCAATATCTAGAGCATTGTGGTCAAAATAGTTGTCAAATTCTCTATCATCCTTCTCCAGCAAGCATTGTTCAGCTTCACTTTGCTCATATGTACTGTCATAAAATTTAGGGTCCTTACTGTCTTCACTCTCATTTTCAGCCTTTTTGTCATTCTCTGCCTCTTCATATATAGTTTCATCCTCCACATTTATACCATCCGGAACAGTACTTTCGTCACCCTCCTCATCCACATTTATACCCTCAAGAACAGTACCTTCATGCCTATACTCAGCCACATTTGTACCCTCAGGAATAATGCCTTCATCACCCTCTTCCTCCACATGTATAACCTCAAGAACAGTACCTTCATCACCCTCGTCCTCTCCTTGTCAACAACAATGCTATCCTCCTCATTCTCCTCATCCTTTTCATCCTCCTCATACATACGCTCATAACCAGACTGTTCAAATTCAGCAATTAGGTTTCTTGCAATAGGACCCCTCTCACTCCAAGCCACTGCAGATTCATCCACATTAATAACAGTTGGGTGTTCCAAGTAAATGACAATCACTCTTTGAAAGCTAAGAGGCATCAAATTACACCAATTAAGTAGCTGAGCATCACTATCTATACACATTTTTTTACCATTTTGTTTCCCTGTCACAACCACTTGGTCATGGTGCCCAAGCTCTTTTGCATATGCATATATCTCTAACAAATTTATGTATTCCAAAAGACACCAATCCAAAAAATCAACAAGCCCCCCCACATAAAACCACCACTCATTGAGGTTTGGGGATTTTACCATTCTACCTCCATGGTGTACTTCAAAGGTGACTATTCCTTTGCCATCTACACAACAGAACATAAAAAAACACACTTTAACCATTGCCTAGTCATATGTATAATTTAACCATTGCCTAGTCATATGTATAGTTTAAAAAGGACAACACAACCACCAAACTACCAGTAAACAAACATGAAGCATGATTCAAAAGCAACTAACATGTTTAAAGCACTAAAATAACCTTTAAACAACTAGTAAACAAGAAAACATAACAGCAACACATAGGGGACCACAACAATTTTTTATTCCACGCTAATCAAACTCAACACCTTTGGACCCGACCTAACAAAGCAAGCAAACAATAAAGTAGCTTAAACCTAGACCACACTTTATAAATCTATCCCTTTCATCAATTTCATTTCAAAAGCAAAAGCAAAGGACCACTTACTGTACTTGGGTTGAGAACCTCCTTTCTCTCTCAGCACCGTTGTGTGTACAAATTTCCCCACGAGAATATTCGATTGGAAATATTCCCCTTTCTTCTTCGCCGCCTCCTTCTCCCTGCAAAATAGAACCAATAAGGGGACCACACCCGGGGGGTGTTGGCCAAAGGCCCTCTGATGCCTAAATTAGTTCAATTGAATCGTATAGAAAACAATAGCTAATAGGGTACGGAGATGTGTTTATGGTGTAAACCGGGCGGCTGGAGCCTTATGTAAAAGAGGGAGAGAAATGAGGTGGCTAGGGTTTGAGAGGAATTTTCTGCAGAGTTTCAGTAGGGATTTTAGACGTACCTCAACCCTTGTGTGTGGTTATGCCTTTATAGTGGTTTTGGAGGCTAGGGTTTTAGAGGAATAATTCCGTAGATGGAAGGGAATTATTCCTCCCCTTTTTGGAATTGATTTAATTAATTAGGGATTTGATTTATTAGGGCAAATCAAATCCCTAATAGTGGTAGGTATCAAATCAATCATAATTCAATTAGGTAACTCCTCATTTAATTGGGAATTGTGGCAATTAATCAAATCAATTCTCAACCCAATTAGGTAACGTTCAATTTAATTGGGTAATCCCCAATTAAATCGAGTAACTCCCAATCAGGTTGATTAATTCCCAATTAGGTCAAATAATTCCCAAATGAATGAATTATTTGACCTAGGGTTTTGATTTAATTTTGGTTACCACAAATGCCCCCTAGCTTTTGCATGGTGCGTGGTGGCATGTAGGAGATGTGAATTATCCGTTGGGTTGTCCAACTGCAACTGGGCTTCCTTCTTGGACCTGGGCTCCCGAGTAAAGGAGATGTGTGACTTGCCAATTCTATGAACTCCCAAGTTGGAAAGGGTTGGCGATTCGTTGTAGGTCAAGGAATTTTGATCCTTATAAATGTAGGGCTCCTCCAATTTATTCTTCACATCAAAACTCCAATCTTCCGATTTCATTAGTGAGTGAAAGAAAACTTTGGAGAATTGTTCCAGCATGCTTGAGACTTTGTCCTTGCCGCACATCCAAGGTAGAGCTAGAGTTTTTTTTTTTTTTTTTTTTTTTTTTTTTTTGTCTTTTCGGGCAACTTTGACCATGCTTTCTAGTCGACTAGGGGAGCTGCAAAGGGTGCGTGATTTTGCCTTGAAGCATGGCTAGAGACGTTGGAAGGCTGGCAGGCTTGAGGTTGCATGCCTTGGGCTCGAACATGGAGGTCTGGAGGCTCCAGGCTTGGCACGCTAAGTGGGCTAACCCTAAGAGAGGCGGAGCTGGGCTTTGGCGCAACGCGGACTCGAGCTGGGCCTTCACATGGGATGCGGGTTGCACATGCTAGCGTTTGGAGCGAGCGGGCTAGGCAGAAGGAGTGGGCCTCGTGCACTACACGGGCCTGGGAGAGCTGGGATGGAGTCGGTGGGCCTGGCAAACGCGTGCTGGGCTGGAGGCGCGAGCTGGGCCGTGACTGCTGCTGGGCTGTGTGTTGGAGTACCTACTGGGCTAACTCCCTTCGACTTGGGGTTGATCCAAGCAGCTTAAATTTTTTTTTTGTTGCTCCTGCTGCTTTTTTTTTTTGTAACTTGCAGATTTTTCTGGTATTCTGATTTGCAGAATTTCTTCTTTTTTTTCTTTTTTTTTGCAGCTACTCGTTAACCAACCATGTCTTCTGGGGATGATAGCAAGGCTCCAAGCTCCCAGGCACCTTTGTATTTATGGGGAGGCTCCCTAGTGCCCAGTAAGAAGTTTGTGGCCAACCTGCACCGTGTCATGACCGATGGTCAGTTCCAGAAGTGGCGAGCTGCTTTCGCGTCTACCATTCTAGATGAAGTGCAGGTCAAGCTACTGAAGTCTCGGTCTGATAACGAGCCTCTGGTGGATGCGACTGATCCTGGCGCTAGGATCATTACCTCCTTTTTATTTCTCCTTGGGCTTCAAATTCCCGCTGTCGAAGCTCTTCAAGGAGGTGTTCTGCACCATGGAGTGTGCTCCGAGCCAGTGTACCCCCAACGTTTACCGGGCGATCATGTGCTTCGAGAATCTGAGCCGTTTCTTCACGTTGGAGTTGACGGTGCGAGAGTTCTTTTATTTTTTCGAAGTGAGGCACTTCGAGCGGTATGCCCAAGTTCGCGTCTGGAAGACCAAGCTGTTTGACGGTCTTAGTCAAGGAGATCACGCTTGGCATGACGACGTGTTAGAAGTTAGCGGACGGTGGGAAGGCGACGTTGGTGACAGCCCACTTGTTCCCACTACCTATTGTTATGGTATGTCCTTTTGTGATTTTTGATATGCTCCTTTTTATTTGAATTTCTTGAAGTGTGGCTGACTAACTTCTGTCTTCTACTTATAGTGAGTGACATCAGCAAGCAATTGGAGCTTGGACCGGACATGGCTAAGGTCTGTTGTGCTTTGAACATCCCTTTAAAGTTTCGCGAGTGGCGCTGGCTGTTGAGCGAGTACCGAGAGGTAGATGCTGGTCTGTCCCCTGCCGAGGATGTCGAAAGGTGGAAGCAAAACGGCCCTAATCCTGATGATTTGCCTGCCGGACAGGAAAAGTGTTCTGCTGAATCTCCCCCAAAGAGAAAGGCGGCTGCCAAATCTTCGAGGGGTGAAGCTACTTCTTCGCACGAAAAGAATGGGTCTCCATCGAGGAAGAAGCCAAGGCTCCCTTCTGCTGAGAAGACTCAAGTGGGGTATGCTCCATCATCGTCTACTAGGGTCAAGCATACGCTTGAGAACCATGATGTGCTTTGTGAGGCAACTCGTGCCCAACCTAAGTCTGCCGAGCGTCAAAGAGATGTAGACATTCCTCCTCGAAGTTTGAGTCGTCTGCACCGGTTAAAAGATGGAGATCGAAGCGGGAAGTCTGCTCATGATCCAGTTGTTGAGTCACGGGCAGTCAAGCGTGGAGTTGATTCAGTATCATTGACTCATTTGGAGATGAGGTTGGCGGAGGCTAAGAGGATGAGAGAGTCATCTGCCCAGGCTAAGTGTTCTTCTCTAACGTTGGTGGTTGATCCCAATGCGAACAAGTCTAGCCCTGCAGGGGATGCCTGCGTGTCTGATCTACTCAAGATGAACTTCCTATCAAACCCGTCTTCCTGTGCTGAGTTGGTTGATCACATCCGTCAGGCCGGCGATCTTGGCACTTTCTAGAGCCTTTCCCTGGAAAAACAAAGGGAAGCAACATTCCATCTTATTAAAAAAAGGATTGGTTTTTGCTGCTGTGACTATTCAGAACTCATCTGCTGTTGCCCTCTCTTCTGCCCAACTCAGCGAGTTGGAGAAGAAGAACGCTGAATTGGCCAACCAGCTTTTCGTCAAGCAGACCCGTTATGAAAAGAAGATGTCTAATTTGAGGGCGATGACATCTGAGCTGAAAAGCTCCCTTATTGAGAAGGATTCCGAACTCAACTCTCTTGCCGCTGATTTGGTTAGTCGAAAAGATGCCTTCTTTTGTCTTGAACGTAAGAATGCTGACGTCTCCCTTAGCTATGACAAGCTCTTAGCTAGATTTCATGCATACCACAAGTCCGCAAAAAAATCCAAGTCTGAAGCCATCATAGATGCGTACAAGTTGGGCTACTTGCACTGCGTAGATGGGACTACTCCCTTGTATGCAATTGATGACGTAGACATCGAGACGCTCTGCCCCGACTCACCCCTTGTGGAAGGAGGAGCTGAAGAGCAGGCAGCCAGAGAGGATGAAGCAGAGGAAGACGCAGTAGATGAGATGATGGCAGATGTCGCGGAGCAGGCAGATAGAGCCACTGAAGGCGTGGTTGATCAGGCAGAGGTTGAAGTGGCTGCAGCTCAGAGGTCTCCTGCTGGCGTCCTAAAGTAGATGAAGACTTCTTTGTTTCTTTTCAGCTTTTATAGTTTGTTTTCTTGCTTAGAATAATTGGTCTTATTTGACCATCTTCTCTTTGTTGATCTTGACCGATTGGTCAGCTTGTTATGGAAATTTCAGTTTATTTTTCACTTCAATTTGCATATTGATTTGTGAACTGCTTGAGTAACCAGCCTGTGTCTTGATTGCACATCTCCCTCTGGTGATTCATGAGTGCCAGGGTCCCCCTGGGAGGACTCCGGGTGTGTTCTGCATATCCCTTAGGATGGTTCTCCTTAGGAAATTGGCGAGTGCCAAGGCCCCCCTTAAGGGGCTCCGGGCGTGTTCTGCACATCCCTTAGGATGGTTCCCTTTAGTAAGTTGGCGAGTGCCAGGGCCCTCCTTAAGGGGCTCCCGGCGTGTTCTGCACATTCCGTAGGATGCCTTCGTCGTCGCCCTGCATCTCCTAAAGGACACTGCTTATGGGAAATTGTGTGACTATCCTGCCTCCCTTAGGAAATGGATAGGAACCTGGATACTTCCCGCATGAGAAATGGAGACCTCCTTTTAAGAAATTCCTGGCGCACCATGCGTCTCCCTTAGGACGCTTTTTACGGGACGCTTTTTACGGGCTGCGTCTCCCGAAGGACGCTTCTGATTGTCACCTTGCGTCTCCCTTAGGACACTCCTTATGGGCAATTACTGCCTCCCTTAGGAAATGAATAGGAACCTGGATACTTCCTGCAGGAGGCATGGAGACCTCCTTTTAAGAAATTCCTGGCGCACCATGCGTCTCTCTTAGGACTCTTTTTACGGGTTGCGTTTCCCGAAGGACGCTTCTAGTCGTCACCCTGCGTCTCTCTTAGGACGCTCATTATGTGCAACTATATGGCTATCCTGCCCCCCCTTAGGGAACAGATAGGAACTTAGATACCTCTCTTAGGATATTCCTGGCGCACCCTGCGTCTCCCTTAGGACGCTTCTTATGGGCTGCATCTCCCGAAGGACCCTTATGGTCGTTGCCCTGTGTCTCTCGAAGGACGCTGCTTATGGGCAATTGTTGTGTTTTGCGAGCAGATAAGACATTTTGGAATGAGAAATTGAACTTATATTGATATTCATAAGATTATAGTATTTTATTCGAAAATGAAAATAATTGAGTACAAAACTTGAAACTTCTAGCAGTCATGAGGAAGCATTATGGATAATACTTCTGGAGATGGTGAGAGGCAACTCGGATAATGGTCTTCTCACATTCGCCTTCAAGTAGGTCAAGGTTGAGCTTCATCTACTCGGAGTTCTGATCAACACTGCCCACCTTAAGGCTTACGGAGGGGACTGTGATGTGAGGAGGGATGATCGCTTTCGTCCCATAGGCAAGGGAGAATGGGGTTTCGCCAGTTGACCTTCGTTTGGTGTTGCGATAAGCCCATAGTACTCCGGGGAGTTTGTCCACCCATTTCCCTTCGGTGCCTTCTAGTCTTTTCTTCAAGCAGTCCAAAATGACTTTGTTGGATGCCTTGGCCTGCCCGTTTCCTTGTGGATACCTCGGAGTGGACAGGTGTTGCTTGATCTTGTATTTCGAAAGAAGGCGGTAATTTGCTTGCCAATGAACTGTGAGCCATTATCAGTAACTAGCAACTGTGGGCAGCCAAATCGGCAGATGATGTTTCTCCAGATGAATCGCTCCACATCGGCTTCTTTAGTAGATGATAGAGCTTTGGCCTCGATCCATTTAGTAAAACAGTCGGTGGCGACTATCATCATTTCTTTCTTGGCGAGCGCCGGTGGCTAGGGACCCATTAAGTCAACAGCCCATTGCATGAATGGCCATGGACTGTTTTGCTGATGGTAAACTTCAGCAGGCAGATTAGGGATCGGCTTGTATCGCTGGCAACGATCACACTTTTTGACATATTTAGCGGAGTCGTGACGCTTGGTAGGCTAGAAGTAACCTATGTTTAGAGCTTTCTGGGCGAGTGATCTGCCCCCAGAGTGGGTGCCACACTCGCCGTCGTGAATTTTGCAGAGGACCCCAAGTGTTTGAGGGTACTTTATGCAGGTGAGATGAGGGTCGGAGTATGATCTGCAGATGAGCTTGTCGCCTTGCATGTAGTATCTCGCGGCCTTCTGCTGGACATTCCTAGCTTCGGACTTGTCTGTTGGCAGGTTTCCATTCACTAAGTGGTCGATGATGAGGTGTTGCCAACTGGGGTCCTCGTCAATTTGCATTGCATCGATTGGCTCTATTTCTTCAATACTTGATTGGTCAAGGTGTTCGACCGAGATGGAGCGTCTGAACTGGGTATCTAGCGCTGACCCTAGGCTAGCTAGTGTGTCTGCATGCGCGTTCTCTGCCCAGTGTACTTGTTGGATGGTGAAGGTACCTTCAATAACTCTTGGACTTTGTCAAGGTACAAGATCATCTTTGGGTGCTTCGCCATATATTCACCTGAGGCTTGATTCGTGATCAACTAGGAATTTGAGCAGATGGCTAGCTTTTTTATTGCGAGTTCCTTTGCCAAGCACAGGCCGGCGAGCAATGCCTCGTACTCTGCCTCGTTGTTTGAGGTCGAAAAGCCAAGCGTAATAGCTTGCTCCAACAAGGTTCCATCCGAGGTGATGATGACGACACCTGGTTCAGCTCCTTTTTGGTTCGACGCTCCGTCTACGCACAATTGCCACATGTCTCTGGGTTGGCTAGGTTCAACGGAGGTCCCGTCTGCTTTTGAACTTTTCTTCTTTTTGTTGACCAATTTCTCTTCTTCGGCCGATGGGGTGAATTCTGGTACGAAGTCTGCTTAAGCCTGGGCTTTTATTGTAGCTTTTGGCCGGTAGAGGAGGTCATATTAGCTTAGCTCTATAGCCCACTTCATGAGTCGCTGAGAAGCGTCGGGGCTGTGGAGGATTGATCTCAAAGGAAAGTTGGTCATGACGATGACTCGATGAGCTTGGTAGTAGGGTCGCAACTTTCTCGCGGAGACTACAGGGGCCAAAATGAGCTTCTCGAATTTCGGGTAACGAGTCTCTGCATCGAGGAGAGGTTTTGATGTGTAGAATACCAGATGTTGGGCCCCCAGCTCTTCTCGGATGAGAGCTGAGCTGACAGCTGAGTTGGACACTGCTAGGTACTCGAACAAGTCCTCACTAGGGGAGGTGAAATGAAGTAAGTCTTTAGATTATGGAAAGCTACTTCGCACTCCTCGTCCCATTTGTCTCGTTGTCCTTTCCTCAAAGCTTTGAAAAATGGTTTGCACTTGTCCATTGATCTCGAGAGGAATCGGTTGAGGGCCGCTGCCCGTCAGACTTTGTATCTCCTTTACTCTGGAGGGCGACATCATCTCGAGAATGGCTCTGATTTGACGTGGGTGTGCCTCAATACCTCGTTGCGTAACTAGGTATCCCAAGAATCGGCCGGAGGATACACCAAACGTGCATTTACTTGGATTCAACTTCATGCGATACTGGCGGAGCAGGCTGAATGCCTCGGTGAGGTTTTTGATGTGATCTGCACACTTTGGGGCTTTGACCAGCATGTCGTCCATGTAGACTTCCATAGTTTTGCTGATCTGCTCCTTGAAGATTTTATTCACGAGCCTTTGATAGGTTGCTCTCGCGTTCGCCCAAAGGACATGACCTTGTAGCAGTAGGTCCCTCTCTCGATGACGAAAGAAGTTTTCGCCTTGTCATCCTCGTGCATCAAGATTTGGTTATAGCCGGAGTAAGCATCCATGAAGCTGAGCAGCTGATTACCAGAAGTGGAATCCACAAGTTGGTCGATTCTCGTCAATGGGAAGTTGTCTTTTGGGCATGCTTTGTTGAGGTCTGTGTAATCGACGCAGACTCTCCACTTGCCCTTCTCTTGTTTTGCCACTAGACCAACGTTGGCAAGCCACTCTGAGTAGGAGACCTCTTCGATGAAGCCGGCAGCTAGGAGTTTGTCAATCTCGGCTTCGATAATAGCGACTCGCTTAGGTGCGAAGTTGCGTCTCTTCTGCGCCACTGGCCTACAGGTAGGGTTGACATGGAGTTGGTGACAGATGATGTTCGAGTCGACGCTAGGCATGTTTGATGGCGACCATGCGAACATGTCTTTGTTGTTCTGCAGGAAGGTGATCAGCTCCACCTTCTCTTCTGGGCCTAAGAGCGAGCCGATCTGCGCTTTCCTGTCTGGTTGGTCAGGATCCAAGGGTATTAACTCGACGTCCTCCTCGGGCTTCCATCCTTCTTCAGGAAAAACCTCTGGACAGATTTCCTCGGCTTGGTCCTGACGCTTTGATTGCTATAAGAGAGCAAGATTCTGTTGTTCAACCTCCTTCAGATCTGCCTGGCTCACAGGGAGAAACTGCGCTTGTTTGCTTTTCTTCAACCCTTGGGCGAAGCATTTCCTCGCCATTGCCTGAATCGCTGTTGATTTGGCCGAGACCGCCCCCTAGGGATTGGGTACCTGATTTTCTGATGTGTGGCAGAGGTGATGGCCTTGATCTTGCCGATCCATGGTCTGCCCAGAATGCCGTTGTTGGGTGAGACTTCATCAATGACCATGAATGTTTGCAAGCTGACTACAAGTGGGGAGTAGACGTCGAGGTCTATCGTGCACCATTAAAGCCGGTTAGTGATCTTGCTGATTTGTTGATCTTTGTCTCCAAGCCCATCTGCTGGATGATGGCCAATTGTAGGATATTGGTTGCGCTGCCCTCGTCTGCATGGATTTGGTCAACCATGGCCTTAGCAATTTGAATGTTGATGACAAGGGCGTCATTATGTGGCATGTCGAGACCAATCAGATCTTTCTTTTGAAAGCCGATTATAGGATCGTCTTTTGCTAGTAGAAGGTCAGTCGAGACTTGGGAGATCATGGTGGCATGTTTGATCTTCCTCTTCTTTTCCTTGCTGGTTAGCCCTGACTCCTTGGCATCGGCTAGGATTGTGTTAATCCTTATGACCTTCTTGGGTGGCTCTTTGGCAGTGTCTCGATCTTCAATCCGCTGGATGGCCTGCTTCGCGATGAATTCCGTGCAGTGACCTTCTCTCACGAGTTCTTCAAGGTGCACTTTCTAAGCGAAGCAGTTCTTCGTAGTGTGTCTGTGCGTCTCGTGGAAGGAACAGTATTTGCTAGTATCCCTCTTGTCCGAATCTCCTTTCAAGGGTGGCGGCCTTCTTACCCAAGGTTTGTCTTTCACTTGTGCTAAGATTTGGTGTATGGGGATGGTGAACTTGGTGTAGTCCTCTCCTGCCTTAGCGTCCCCTTGTGGGTGTGACTTACGCTTGTCCTTGTTCTTGTTGCTAAATCCATCGCTTCTTTGGCTTGCCCGTTTAGTCGACTGATATTCCTGCTTTATAGACTTTTTTGCGGTGATTCGATCCTCATCTCAGAGCGCGTAGCATTCCGCAATCGCATAGACCTCGGCCAAAGTCTGGCTGGGAGTGATAGTCAGCTCGCGGTACAAGTTATGTTTAGCTGGAAGACCTTTCTTGAAGGCAGATGACGCGATTCGGTCGTCATATCCCACAATGTTGGCCTTTTCTGCTTTGAATCTCTTGATGTAATCTCGAAGGGATTCGTCGGACTTCTTGTGCAAGTTATACACGTGGTCAGGGTTCTTCTTGATTGTCCGGTAAGAGGTGTATCTTTGGTGAAGACGTAAGCCAGCTCCTTGAAGCTGCTGATCGACCTGAATGGTAGGGTGAGGAACCAGTCTTGGGTTGCTCCCCGCAAAGTCATTACAAACACCTTGCACATTAGTGCGTCGTCGGCCTTGTGGAGGATCATGACACTTTTGAAGTGTTATAGGTGGCTCTCGGGATCAGAATCCCCTTTGAAGTGTGTGAACGAGGGTGTTGAGAATCTCTTAGGAGGAGCAGCTTGCTCGACTTCGGCAGTGAAATGAGTAGAGATCGCCTGGTCCATCTCCTTACATAGTGCGTCTTCAAAGTTCCCGCCGGTCTTCAAGTCTCGAAGTCGGTCGTTCACAAGCTTCTCATCATCTTCAGCACATATCGTTGGTCGGTCTCGTTGGCGACGCTAATTGACCTCCTCGTTGGTCTGCGAGGGTCGACCTTCTCGCCTGCGCTGCCTAGGCGGTGTGTTGGTGGACTGCCCTTGCGAAGGATTTTCTGTAGCTTGCCAACGAGAATCAACTCTTCGAGAGTGAGTAGCAGAGCTCCTTTCCTCATAATCCTCATTATGAGGGTTATCCAGCTGACCACCTTGGGGGCCTAGCCTTTCGTGAATACTCCTCTGAGAGTGGACAGCTGAGCGCCTTTCTTCACGATCCTCGTTGCGATGGTTGTCTAGCTGACCTCCCTGGGGGCCTAGCCTTTGATGTACGTTTCCCTGCGAGCTCAGGCGAGCGCGAATGTCAAGTAGTGGGCCCAGCCTTTTGCGCACGTTTTTCCTTAAGCTTAATCTGCTCTGAGTGTGGCTTGCAGATGCTTGCGACATGTTGAGAGGTCTATCACGTTGTTGTCCCTCGTCTTGTATGCTCACTCCTGCTCGACCTGCTTGATACCTGTCGAGCTGCCTACCGGTGCAGTCGTCCATCCTTTTCTCTTCGCCCAGTTGTCCAAAGCCAAGATTTTGAGCCAAGCTCATTTGGTTGAGGAATTGCCTCATCAGATTGCTTTGGTCGTCCATTCTCTGACCTAGCTGGTCAACTCTCAGACTGAGGTCTGCTTGACTTTGTGGATCGAGAGGAGAGAAGTGCGTGGAGCCTAATTACACACGGGCTAGGGTTTCATTGGAGGTGTACGGGAGAGCGTGCGTCGAGCGTGGATGCAATGGAAGGAATGCTTGAAGTTGCTCCAAGACCGGGCCTAAGTCGGTGGTAGTAACGAGCCCACCTTGATGGGAGGTTCCACCATGTTCGGTTGCGGCGGCCGGTGCGGTGGTGAGAGGTAGTGGTGCCACCATGTCGATCCCAGGACCGTGGGTGGAGTGGCTTTGGGCCGTCTCCAATTTAGCCATTGCGGCGGTTTTGCCTCTCGTCTTCATGCTTCCAATTATGGTTGTTTGGAAGGCTTTAGTGGATTCGAAAATAGGAGGAACATATTCCTTGAGCACGCGTTGAGTATAACTCGTGCTCTCAATGAAAGCACCAATTTGTGTGTACAAATTTCCCCACGAGAATATTCGATTGTAAATATTCCCCTTTTTTCTTTGCCGCCTCCTTCTCCCTGCAAAAGAGGACCACACCCGGGGGGTGTTGGCCAAAGGCCCTCCGATGCCTAAATTAGTTCAATTGAATCGTATAGAAAACAATAGCTAATAGGGTACAGAGATGTGTTAATGGTGTAAATCGGGCGGCCGGAGCCTTATGTAAAAGAGGGAGAGAAAGGAGGTGGCTAGGGTTTGAGAGGAATTTTCTGCAGAGTTTCAATAGGGATTTCAGACGTACCTCAACCCTTATGTGTGGCTATGCTTTTATAGTGGTCTTGGAGGCTAGGGTTTCAGATGAATAATTCCGTAGATGGAAGAGAATTATTCCTCCCATTTTTGGAATTGATTTGATTAATTAGGGATTTGATTTATTAGGGCAAATCAAATCCCTAATAGTGGTAGGTATCAAATCAAATCATAATTCAATTAGGTAACTCCTTATTTAATTGGGAATTGTGGTAATTAATCAAATCAATTCTCAACCCAATTAGGTAACGTTCAATTTAATTGGGTAATCCCCAATTAAATCGAGTAACTCCTAATCAGGTTGATTAATTCTCAATTAGGTCAAATAATCCCCAAATTGAATGAATTATTTGACGTAGGGTTTTGATTTAATTTGGTTACCACAACCGTCATTGTCCTTTTCAATCTGTGCAATATTCGCGCAATGCCAAGATTTCGATTCTTCTGATTTCACTCTTTTGCAATATTCGGTTCTTCTCAAATGTTCGAATCTCTCTCTTCGATTATACAGTCGAAACCCTAATCCCGAAATTATATCGACTAAGAATGGGGTTCTTTTGCTAGACATCACCCATTCAACAGCTTTGATTAGGATTTTCAATGCCTGTGAGGTCCAATATGCCACGTAGGCTGCTGACTAAGGTCAGCAATTGGCTAACGTGAGTATTTTTACCATAATGCCCCTGCCACGTCAGCTTTTTTGACGGTCTTTTGGATGACGTTAACAGTAGGGAGGAAAGTGGAACACAACACCACAGTCAAGGGGGTTAAGTGGGCCATTTTAACTTTAGGGGGGTTTAAGTGAGATTTGACTGGAGTTTCAGGGGGTGCTACAGTGAATAAGCCATATATATGTAATAGATAATTTCACACCAACACGAGTACCAGGGAAACAATCCAATAGAGAGATTGTTTGACTAGCCCGCCGGGTTTCAACTTTCTACCCTATGTCTAGGGATGGGCTGTCCAACCAGGGGACTACCACTCTACAGTACACACACCGGAAAATCCAACGTCACGTGTGGCCAAACCCAACCAACTATTTCCTACCCGCGCAGACTGCTTTATCACACACCTGATAATCCAACGCCACGTGTGATAAAGTACCAACATAACCAAATGTGCCCACACGCTAGATAATCCAGCCAGGTGTGGGTACAGTAACCATGGAAGGGTACTTAGCATGGTGCACTCACATATTCACATAACAATCAACAAAGTACCCCAACTCGTATCAATCACTTGCCTAGTTATTTAATCATAGAGTGAATAACAATTTCTCAAAACATATAATCCATATTCAAAATAATTATAAACCTCAAATATCATGCTAACCACAATTTCCATGATTAAAATATATATTATATAATAACTCCCTAGTCAGAATAATCCATTTTGAATGCATAGTAATTTAATCGTGGAAAATAATGCTATTTCAAAGCAAAGTCCACTTATAGATAATCCAAAGTTGCTTGACCCTGAGAGGTCCCCCCCGTTGAGTGCGAGGAGCTTGAGTACCTATTGAAGAACACGAGGACTAGATTAAAATAAAGCACTTCGAACGAGAACTTTAAAATAAACTCCTAGTTTTCTCGGGACTCAAGTGTGTGTACGATGAACGGGAAGTTCCTAAGGTCCAATTACGTATTTCGAAATGTGAAATAACCTCGGAAGACTCTCGGTCAACCAAGTGGTCAAACTTCCCAAACTTGGTCAACAAGCCCGCGGGGCCACGACCTCTGATTTTCGATCCGAAAGTTCGTACAAGTTCAACAAAGTTTACTAAACATGTCCTGCAAATTTGGTCCAGATCGAACGGTCGGATCGATCATGATCGCACGTTCGGACGATCACCGTTTTACATAATCTTTGAATCATTGATTCAGAGCTTTCGAGACTTCAATTCTCTATCAATGTGTTCTTATACGATCCTAGAGGTACGTAGATCAACATACTTGGAAATGGAGTCGAACCAACTGTCTGAACATATCGAACCTAGATATCGCCTAATATGCGTAAATCCGTTCGATCGTCAAATGATAACCAAATGCAAATCCGATCATATCGTTGTGCACGAGACGACATGGGGAACATTTTAGAATCAACTGGGCCAGTAATTTGTGAGTGTCTTGATAAAATTCCGGTGATCGGAAAATTTCTCGAAACACCCGACAATACCTATACCTACAAGATTAGAACACCTAAGGAAGCAACTTTTGTTCTTGGGCCAGGGCCAAAAAGTGGCCGGAGCTTGCCGAAAATTCGAGAAAAAAATGGGTCAAAACTTAGATCGTAAATTGAGCTTCAAAACTTCAAAATCAATCCTAACCAACTCAACCATCAGCTAGATCACATTGAAAGGATGAGAAAGCATACCTGGATCAACAAATTTTGTGGCCGCAATCGTTAGAGACGAAGACGGAAAATTTGAAGAAAAATAGCCGATTTTGGAGCTGTTGCTGGCGATAGAGGTGGTGGTTGCGGCGGAGAAGGGATAGGATGCGAATAAGGAGTCGGGGTTGTTCTTTTGGGACAGGTCCCGTTGCCGGAGGTGGTCGAATAAAGGTGTTGCCAGCCAAAACAGTGGCTAGCTGGGTATACTTGAGATTGATATTAAAATACTTTTATATTATGTAATTTTACAACATGTTTCAAGAGGATTTATAAGGGGTAATTATGTGAGTTTGTTGATTAATTATTTAGTAGGGATTTTATTTGTGGGTTTTTGTCACGCCTTGATTCGAAAATAAAGAATATTCCTGAATCAGGGTGTGAGTCATACCATAGTCATAAGAATAAATCATACAACCATGATATGATGAGAAAAAAAGCCACAAATAAATACAAATTTACTTAACAACACAGAATCAGAGTCGCAGTAACTCGTAGTTAATTATACACTAAAATTTTTGTCAACCTGTTGACTACATACAAAAGTTAATTATACAAATCGACAACAAAAACCTAGTAGCTTGATTGAAACCCACTTCCTCAAACTTCGCCTTAAATCCTGCACAATCTATTAGGGTATGAGCATTCTAATGCCTAGTAGAACCGTCAAACCCCTCAAGGTCAGCTATCACAGTTAATCAAAGTGTCATGAATCAACAACATAAGATATAAATTATGCAATCATACAAGATAAATAAATTTGCATATGCGGTGATGCCATGAACTCACTTCCTTCTAATCCCACTAATTCATACCTTAGAGCAACAAGCCTGCATGTCCCATACCATGCGTTTTACTACTGTGGCTCTTAATAACCTAAAATATGAACTAGCGCCCATCCATCCCTTAACCCAATTTTCTTTTGTTTACGAATTTCTCAACTTTCACTTTTCATTAGATGCCCTTCTCCCATCACCTCATTATACTCAAGCCCTGCTCCCATCACTTGAATATATTTTACTTTTTATTTACTCAGATATATCTAAGGCCTTCTCCTACCCCTTAGATATACGTCAAACGACGCACACACCCCAAACACCACTGTCTTTATAATGCATATGTAATGCAGTGCAAACCTCATTTATCACTGTAGAATAATAATACAATAATATATATCAGACTTAATCACATGAATATTCACCAAACATCAAATAATAACCACAGAGAAAAAGCAATAATAATATTCACATAACATCAAATAATATCCATCGAGCAAAGCAACAATAATATTCATATTTATAGTACTCTATATAAGCACCAAGATTAAAAGTGATATAGCCCAATTATCGGGAATCTAGAAACCCTACCTCATGTCCAGCTAGCTAAAATACCAAATTTACCCTTCGGAGATTGTCGGAGTTGTCGAATTTTGATCCAATTCCTAAACAAATTTAAATCCAAATTATTATTGAGCAGCCTTTACTTTATTTCACCCAAGTCCAACCTTAACCCTTAGCATTTCTAAGATTTTGCGTGAAAATGAAGAAAATGACCCTAGGACCAACCCAAGGTCGAACACGGCCAAATCTCGTCCAAAATAATTTAAAACTTTGTCCTATGCCCTGTCAACACCAAAACAAGGCCACTACACCCGTTATCCAAAAGTTACTATTTGGGTCTCGTGGGCCCCACAACAATCCATACTTTACACCACCGCGAATTGACTCAAAACATATACCATTGGACTCGGATCGAGAAATCGAGTCAAATGGACTAAAAATATGGCATCGGAGGCTGCCAGAATAGCCGCCACTCGTGGGAGCTTGTTTTCGGTTATTGTTCATCGTCTTCCCAAAAAAAAAAAAAAAAATCATGCAACTTCCTTTGGTTTTAGTTTAAAACCTAGACTTTGTGAGACATTTTGACCAACCAAACATCAACGAAAATGGGCAAACTTATAGTTGTTTTGAAGCTTAATACCTCTAGTTTCTAACCCAACAAACCACACTAAAAACGGAGCTAAAACAAAGGAGAAAACTAGCTTCAAAGTTGGACTCGTTGCTGGTTTTTCTGCAGAAAACATATTTTTTTTTCCAAACTTTGCACCTGTGTTTGACCCATCAAAACTCAACCAAATTGGTTTTGTTCCTTGCCAAGTCTAGTTTAAAACCCAACGAATTGATTCCTCAAAAACTCAAATGATTGAGAGAAAAAGATAGCCAAAGTGAGGCTCATGGACTGCAATTTTCCAGAAATTTGCAAATTTCTAGATTTGGTTCTAAGTCGTTTCCAACCATTCTAACACCTCCAAGTTGTTCCTAAGGCTTCCAAAACACTTCTAAACTTTATACCTATCATTAGAACTCAACAAAAACTCAAAATGGAACCAAATCAACAACACCCACACTTTAAAATTTACTCTATGCACCCAACTCGAAAATAAAGGTTCAAACTCTTCCAAATCAATTTTCCCATCTTTCAAATGACTCTTTTAAGAACTAGAAACACACAAACACCAAGTTAAAACCAAAAACTTGAAATTTGACTCACCTTAGAGATTTTTCTTCTCTTCTCTTCTTCTTTTTCTCGTTGTTCTTGGTTTCTTCTCTCTCATTATCTTCTTCCTCCTACCACAACTCACCTCCCCTGGTTCTTAGCTTAAGTAATTACTATCCCTAGCCTAGACTAGATGACTCACTTCCCATAGATTAACAACTCATCCCCCAAAATCAGATTTTTTGAAGAGAAAGAGGGAAGGGGGGAAGAATGGAGAGAAGAACAAAAGCTTGGCTTACACGGTGGCTTCTTTTTATTTATTTTATTTTTTATTTATAACCTACAAGGATATTTTGGTAATTATCCACACATAAGGGTATTTTGGTCATGTTTGTCCAACTTCAAATTAAACACACTTAATTTAATGATCTCAATCCAAAATCACTTGATAAAATTGTTGGGGTTGTTAGAGTTTTAGTTGAATTAGTCAAAGTTTATTCAGTTAATAATTCCTATTATTTAGGATATGTAGGTAGAGTCTGATCTTTTCCTTAGTCAGTTACCACGGTATTAGGATCAGTAAAACGTGGGTTGTTTGTTTCAATCTTATCTCTTTGTAAGGCTTATATAAGCCAACAGCTTGTTTTGAATACATTTAGATTTTATCCAGATATTACTTCTGAATTGCTTTGTGCTTAGAGTTTATAACAATCTGGTATCAGAGCTCCATCATGGGCCCTGAGTGTGAGAGAAAAGAAACCGCAGTTTCTTAAGAAGAGAAAGAGTGAGAAGAAAGAGAATCGAGGTATGGCAGCTGAAAGTAATTTCGTTCAACCTGCAATTCCTAAGTTTGATGGTCATTACGATCATTGGTCCATGCTTATGGAAAATTTCCTTCTTTCGAAGGAGTATTGGAGTTTGGTGGAGACTGGAATCCCTGCTGCAGCAGAAGGAGTGGAGCTTACTGAAGCACAACAAAAATCAGTTGCAGACCAGAAGCTGAAAGACCTGAAGGTCAAGAATTATCTGTTCCAAGTCATTGATCGAACCATTATGGAGACGATCCTCAACAGAGACACTGCCAAGCACATCTGGGACTCTATGAAGCAGAAGTACCAGGGTTCCACAAGAGTCAAAGGAGCACAGCTCCAAGCTCTTCGGAAGGAGTTTGAGGTTCTCCAGATGAAAGAGGGTGAGAGTGTTGATGCGTACTTCTCTCGAACACTCATCATAGCAAACAAGATGAAGATTCATGGTGAAAACATGCAGCAAGTGGTGATCATTGAAAAGATCTTGAGATCAATGACCTTAAGGTTCGACTATGTTGTGTGTTCGGTTGAAGAGTCTAATAATTTAGACACCTTAACCATTGATGAGTTGCAGAGCAGCTTACTGGTACATGAGCAGAGGATGAACGGGCACGGAGGAGATGAGCAGGCATTAAAGGTGACCTTCGATGATAGAATTGGTGGAAGAGGAGGCGGTCAAGCTCGTGGAGCTTTTCGAGGAAGAGGCAGAGGGAGAGGCAGACAAGCGTTCAACAAAGCTCTAGTTGAGTGTTATAAGTGTCATCAATTAGGGCACTTTCAATA